TGTGGTTGCCAGATGTCACGCACGTTCGGCTGACGAGATAGTCGCGCTTTGTTGCGCTTTCCAGGTCGAAGACTTGCTGGGCATGCAGAACTGCAACCTGCACAACTTGCCCGAAAATTACACGATGCGATACTGTGAGTGATCTGTCTTCCGCCCATCGACCAGAGGAGCGCTCAAACTGCGTAATGCCCGCTGCCCGTAGATTTCTACCATGCTTTGACCTGGCCTCAGCTGTCGTACGTCGCTCAAGATCCAAAAGGCAGGATAGTAGGCTACATTCTGGGCAAGATGTGAGCGGGCTCTTCGGCTCGTACTTCGAGTTGCTTCGTATAGCGCTGACCTATGTTTGATGCGCATACACTCGCTTGTTCACAGGGAGGAGGAGCCAGCAGATGGTGTACCGCATGGGCATGTGACGAGCATCAGCGTCCTCCGCTCGTATAGGAGATTAGGATTGGCCAAGAAGCTCATGACACAGAGCCGTGAGTAGCGTGCACGATGTCGTTGTGCTCACGTGCTAGAGTGCTGAGCGCATCACTGTTTCTCATCTGGACAGAGGAAGCAATGCGAGACGTTTTCGGGGCAAAATACGTCTCACTACACGTCAGAGAAACAAATAGGGCGGCGATTGGCCTATACAGGGACACGCTGGGCTTCGAGGTTCATGAGGTCGAAAAGGGCTACTGTGAGTACGATGGGAGTGAAACGACACGATTGCACTTTTTCAGGTTGCTCAAAGTGCGCTCCTCCACAATCACAGATGCTGATGGGGAGGACGCGTACGCCATGAGATTGAACTTTTAAGTCGACTCAATGCAAATACGCAATTCCAAGCAAGATGGTTCTGTCACAATTTGCTCAGAGCTATTCGTTGAGAGGTGTGCATTGGTACGCTTAGCAGTCCGCTCAGGTCGGCATGACTGAATCGGCTCAAGGAGGCTCGAATCACATGGTTGCGCAGCTTACTGTGCTGGCATGTTGAAGAGCATGTTGTTGCCGTGAGGCAGATATGTGACGTTCCGCGCGCCGCTGAGGGTGGAGGCAATCTGCTTGGAGGCTTCAATGCGACGCAGCGTTAGCAGACCTAGAGTGTGAATGAGGGGGTTCGTGTCAGCTCAGCGGTGCATGCGTGTCTCGTAGAGAAGCTCATCTACTCACCATCGCCCGCACGGTCGAGCGCCTGGGAGATCGTTCTCGCAGCTTCGGCTTCACCCTCCGCTCTGATGACACTAGCCTGTCTCTCCTGCTCCGCTTTCTCGACCACGAACTTGGCTCTCTCGGCGTCTTGTTGCGCAATCTGCTTCTGCTCGACCGCCTTGGTGAAGTCCTGACCGAAAGTCATGTGGGTGATGGAAACGTCTTCCAGCTTGATGTTGAACTCTGATGCGCGACGTAGCAAGTCCTCTCTGATACGCGAAGACACCACTTCCCGCTGAGTGATCAGCTCGGCCGCGTCGAATTGCGCCACGATTGCCTTCAAGACTTCGTTGCCAATCGAAGGCAGGACCCTTTCGTCGTAATCTTGACCAAGGGATTGGTAAATCTTTGGCAAATGCTGCACATCTGGTCGCGAGAGTACTCTGAGAGTCAACGAGACCTGATCGGTGCAACAACAGGCCGTTCATCAGCCCTGAGCTCATCTAGCTAGCATGCAGCAGCCAAAGGACGCACCATCTGCAAGTCCTTGCTTCCAGTCGTCGTAGAGATGTTCTGCGAGTCGGAGCAGTGATCCAAATCAGCTATTTTGCTTCTGTGCTTGACTCGAAGTCGTTGCAGACTTGGCTTCTAGGACTGCAGAGACATCACCACTCCCTGCAGGGCATGACGCTGCCTCGAGCAAACTTCCCAACCTGCTCTGGCACCTGATCTTCCACTCGCCGAAAAGGCATTTGGAAGGCTAGGTACGAGAACAGGAGCAGTCCACTATTGGTCCCTTCATGTCGCTCTACGCACCCTAGGCTTGACGCGGACATCATAAAGG